CGACGAATCTTGGGCTAACAGGCCCCTGGGTGAAACTGTAGACGAATCTTGGGCTAACAAGCCCCCGGGTGGAACCCTTAAAATATTACAAAGAAAAATGTCAATACACATTGACTCAAGTATCCCGAACTATAGGATTACCCAAAAATGTACATAAACTAGAAAATATTTAGCATCTAGGATACAGAAAAATTACATTGGCTCAACAGTGAGTCATAAACAGTATTATGAGCTCAAATAATTAAAATTCTGTTACACCATGCCATAACATAAAAGAAATTTACAGCCACATGGTGCGTAACATAACCAAATATATACAAAACATACCTTTTTCGTAAAGGGTTAACTTGGTAGTCTTCCAAGGATGAGAAACACGTGAGATGATCCACAGCACAACAATATTCCACACTCCAAATGCTGTGAACTCCCAATTATTGCGTTAAAATCCTATAATAGATATGGGCTGGACCAATGACCATAGGAATTTACCAATACACTAAAATTCCTCTCAAAATACGAAATGTCCATTTACCCACAATTAACCATGAAGTAGAATCTAAAATCCCCTTTAATTAGGGTAAGCCGATGGGGCTAAATATTAACAAAATTCTACTTCGACGCAAAATTCGTCCTTCTTGTGATTCAATCACCCACTGACAGAAACAATACGTCAGCCGTCCAAAATGGCCGAAATCCCTTTCCGATAAATGTCAAGTGGGTTCAGAAATTCATCCTCAAGAATTCCCCACTATATAACTTAAGAGACCATTTACGAAAGGTACCCTAACAACTATATTTATATACAGTATAACTACATTTGGGAAACTGTTCCCGACAAAAATTAATACAACAGCGATCGCCAAAAAATCCCTCACGACTGAAAATCGCTCATTGTGAAACTACCTTACCTCGGGTTCTGAGCCCGATATTGGAACGTACTACAAACATGACATTTGTCGGTGTTCTGTCGTCAAATGACGTTTATGTCATTCACTGTCATAATTAATAAACATTAATCCAATTCTGACAGCTATAAACAAAGAAAATCTTAAAGAATGGTATCGTAAATAATTAATTACCCAAAGGTGAGACTATAATACATAATATATATAAATTTACAACGAAACTTGGTCTATTTTTAGGATGGTTACCATCCTTTTACTTAGTGGTGAGATGAAATAAATTGTAATAATGATGTCTGAAAGTTAGAATACAGGTGAAATTAGTTAATGACCAAAATAATAGTGATATCAACCATACGATTTTACCCTTTTTTTTCGTATGATTAACCAGGTAAGCCAAAACAATTTTATTAATTCGTGGGGCCAAAAATGAACGTTACACTATATTATTTATAACATTGACTGGTCTGGGTAAGTTAAATATTTAAATACTTTTTATGATAAAATTACGTTTCCAAATTTTAATATTTACCTAAAGGAATCTGGGGTTGATAATAACCAAATCACTGACAAAAGTTGTATTTTAGGATCATTTTCTAGTCTACCACAATACATATCTTGGTGTATCTTAATTAGTGGTCCTATTTCTCTTAATAACATCTCAAATCCTTCCAAAGACATTCTAAAGTGACTCTAAAACTGGGCTAAATTAAATGTGGAAACTACTGTCACTGCAAAATTTTCGGAACGTCGGGATGTAATTCTAGGTCCCCTTGAAGTAATATTTAAGGCAGCGACTTCCATTTCCATATCATTCTCGGAATCGTTATCATCTTCTTGATCCTATTTGTAAATATTACTATAAAGGGCATTCATATATTCATATTATTTTTCATACATAAAAGTACTAATAGTGGTAAACATAATTTTTGACAAATTATCTGCTACTGCTAGCAGAACGGTTTTTGTTTTCAATGTTTGATCCATATCCAAATAAGAAGCCATACCATAATATTTAAAAATCCAAAATTGTTATTTTGTCTTTTGTCTGACATCCTACAAACGTTGATCTCAAAAACTCAAAACCGTTCGATAAATATTTAGTTTTGATTGTGGTATCGCATCATGTAGACTAGTTTGTATTATTTTTTGTAACTGATACTTACATTTTTGTTATACAGGACGGGCTAAAGAAAACGCACTCTGCAGAGGGTGCGAACAAGAAGATGAGACCATCGAGCATATCCTTTACGATTGCTCGACGCTCTCATTTATTAGAAGATTTGTGATCGGCGAGTATCGGCTAACACCGGCCGATATAAGAGAAGCACCTCTTGGCGACGTTGTCAACTACATTAAATCTGTAGGCTGGCTCACGAGCTAGGAGGTACCTACCTTCTCAGGAGTATGCACAATGGGCCTAACGAGGCCTAAGTGCCGTGGGGTAACCCACCCTCCACACATTACAGATACAGTTGGGATATACATAAGTATAAATAAACATATTCCTTTGAAAGCAGTAGAAAGTTTTAAACAATTAATTAGTATTTGCCATAATTTTCATAACTTTTTATTCAACACTGTATTTAAGAGAGAAGCAGTAGAAAGGGTACATGTGTTTTGATTTGACGTTTAGCTATAATTTACCTAAACACGCTTAAAAAGGGACAAGTCTAGATATGATATTTTTTCATTTATTTTATTTCGGTAGTATAAAAACAAATACAGTTATGTTTAAAAAACATACATGTAGAAACTATTATGTGTAAGAAATAAGTGTTAACGAGAAAAAGAAACATATTAGGTATAGAAAATAAACGACTTTTTAGATTTAGCTTTAAAATTCGGATTCTTCTTCTGGGGCACGATATCTGTCGACATCCGGATCTGTTTCCTTCTGAATACTTCTGTCTATTGATAGATTCCGGTAGTAATACTGGAACTCTCTGGCAAGTAAATTTACGATTTCTAATAAATTTTTGTTGTTGTGCTTATAGGTCTTTGAGTTTTGTATAAAACATTAAGCTTAAAATATTCCATGTTTCTGTCGTTTAAATTCCTCTTCATCATTTAAATTATTTTTAAATCTAATCACTGAATCTTTCGTGTACCTTTTGTATCTGTAACGTGTGGAGGGTGGGTTACCCCCCACGGCACTTAGGCCTCACTAGGCCCATTGTGCATCCTCCTAAGATGATAGGCACCTCCTAGCTCGTAAGCCTGCCTACAGATTTGAAGTAGTTGACAACGTCGCCAAGATGTGCTTCTCTTATATTGGCCGGTGTTAGATGATACTCGCCAAACACAAATCTTCTAATAAATCAGAGCGTCGAGCAATCGTTAAGGATATGCTCGATGGTCTCATCTTCTTGTTCGTACCCTCTGCAGAGTGCGGATTCTGACAGCCCCATGATATGGAGATGTTTCGATGTGGCGTGATCCATCTTAAGGTGATGTTGATGGATACTTCGGCCACAAACCTTCGTGACATTCTAGTACTAACCCCAAATCAATTCGTGATCTGTTCAGGGTGAGTAGTGCTCGTCTGTTATCTGTATAGAATAAGCATGTTCCTTCCAGTGATATTGTTTCTGGTGATTTCTTTTGCTGCTATAAGAATCCCCGTGAGCTCTGTTTGAACTATACTGGCACTATTGCCGAGCCATTGAAATTAATATTTAAGGGGATATTTTCCATTTATATGCTATGGTAAAAAATATTATTAAGATATACATTTACAATAAGCATTTATAAGAAAATTTTTATGTTTAGGTCTAATTTCTGTACTGCCCTGAACCACACAGATATTTTTGTCCAAGCTGGATTTGAGTTAACAATCCTGAGCTTGCTACTGTTGTCAAAACTAACCTGTTTTATGGGTTAGGTAAAAGAGAGAGGTCTCTTTTTATTCAATATAACAACTAATATAATAAAATTTTACTGTTAAATAATTTTTAAATGCATAAACTGAAGCTAAATCATTATTCACCATTAATTTAAAATCGATGTAGAATTTTTATCCGATACGTGAAAAGTTTGTTCTCTGTGAATATAAGAAAATTTATTTTGTATTTTGAAAGCTAAACGATGTACCTATAAGCAAAATTGATTATTCCAAAATTTTAAACTATCACAATATTTTAGATTTTTATATAAATTTTCCACTTAACCTCGTTTCTCTGGTACATGAACTTATAATAGTATCCTATGGATTAAAAAACTATTTTTGATAAAAAAATGCAGTTAAATCAATTTTAATAATTTTATTATTTAAATCAATGCAGCTTTAAAATAAACACATTTACAAAGGAATTATAAGTTTTCCGGAATAGAAATTATAGGCTACGGCTTTTATTGATGTCTTTTTCTATCTGAAAACAGTCCAGAATATTGGTCCATAAACTTGTTAACTTCCGTTTGTTTAGACGCTCTCTTTTTTTATGTGTTCAGCAAAATATTTAGCAATCATTTTTTTGGGTCTATTGACCAGGTCTGTTTAGAAGAGGTGTTTTTCGCTTTATGTCGAGCAGTTTTTGTGTCAAATCATCATTAGAAGTATGTTTTGTCGAATCATCACGAATTTGTCGAGAAACAACATCCTGTACTTCGCAATTTTCGAAAATAGGATCTAAATCAATATTTATTTGGTTTATATCTAAACCTTTATATTTTTCTAACCCTACTTCGGTTGCAAGTAGCAATAATTTTGAAATTTTTGATGTCTGATATGTGCTATCAGACAGCCTGTGAAAATTGCAGTGGGTTTTAAGAATATATCCCATGAATGTGGAAAGTTGTTCCAAATTATTTTCCGAAAGTTGGAGTAACTGAGTTACGGTTGTCAGATATTTTCGCAATCTAGTAGCACTTATAATTTCGGAATTTTGAATGCCACTCTTTTCAGCATATAGAACTTTGGTCCCGTCTATAAATTTTTTTCCTTTTATATGGAAAATATAATCTTTACCTTCAACGAAACTGTCTTTTATTTTTATCAAAAAATCAAATTGTTTTTTAATGTTTTGTGTCAGTATACCATATGACTGCACGAATTTAGCAAACATTTTTCCGTTTCGTCAAATTCGGTATCTGCAACATCTAGATTGATTTATATGTTTCTATTTTAATTTGAGCTACTTCTGCAGATCGCCTTCTATTTATTAATATTATTTGACAGCACAAAACTTCTTTAAGACAATTGTAAGCGGATTTATCGCTTTCGTTTTTTTGAAGCTCTTCAAATGTTTCTCGGGCTATTATTTCTAAAGATTTCTTGAGTTTCTTAAGGTCAGACGTTAGTGGTAGTAATTCCTCTTTATTCCATTTCTTGGTATTTAAATTAAGGCTAGCTTGAGCTGAAACTTCCTTAGCCCATTGTGATTCTATGAGAGTATTTAGAATTTTCTTTGAGTTTCTGTGTTATATTCTTGAAGTTACTGAATAACAGCCAAATCACAGCACTTTTTTAATAATGTTCAAATATTCATGGCAACCGTGGGAGATTCATATATACCATTGGCCTCATTATAACCTCCTAAAGTATTAACTCCTTTAACGATTATTTTAAAAAGTCAATTAAACCTTTAATATTGTAATCAGATTCTTTAGAAATTTGTAGTAACTTGGCCAAATTTCTTACACTAGTTCTTACGAAATCTAAGTTCCATTTGCTGCTTCTACCTTTCATGTATGAATATACGTAGTTGCATATCAAACTATCTATTTTTGCCAATAAATTTACTTCATCGGCTCTCATTCTGGGAAACAGTTCTTTTTATAAAAGTTCATCATGTTTAAATTTTCCCAAAAGTAGTGCAGTTTGACCTTCACTTTGAGACGTTTGTCTTTTTACTAAAGTTGAGGATATGTGTCGTCAGCAAAAGTAAACATTTTTATTAAGATGAATTTTTCGTGGACTGGTCGATTTTCATTTTAATTTACTGTATTTTAACATATTAATTTGTAACAGTGTAAATTATCTTAGAGTGACGAGAGTTTTTTTATATAGTGCATCGTATATTCTTTTTACTTGAAACAAACTTGCTAAATTTTTAAAAACAGCTCTGCAAGTGAAGCAAAAAAATTGAAATTATTTAGTGTGATTCGTTTAAAAAAAGGTTAATGATGTCATCACACGAAGATGGTTCACCAGTGTTTATTCAATTATTATTTGAAAATCCAGTAAATTAAAATCAAAAATCGACCTGTCACGAAAATTTCGTTCAAAATTGTTACAGTTAATAATGAATGTATGCGTTACTTTGTACAATTTATACATTTTATTTGGTAGTCATAGCTTGACTCAAGTAATACATATATTACTTGTGCCAAAATTCCAAGAGAAAATTGCAAAGCTAACCCTGTATACCCTTTATATTACGACAATAAATCTGAAATCTTCACACATTGATAAGAAAAATTATGTAAGCAATATTTTTGCTACACGTTGTAAATTTTGTCTAACTTTTATATATCACCTTTTAACTTGCAAAAAAAGTTCTTTTTTAAAATATGGTTTTGAATTTTCCGTTGCTCCTTCTATCTACTTTAGAAGTATATACGGTTCTTCATGAGTCACCCTGTATAAATCAACCAGTAAAACTTATATGTGTTTAACTGCGAAGTGAAAACTAAAAAATATGTGATTTCATACTGTTGAAAGGTCTTCAGCGATAAAAAATTTGAAAATATGTAAATACGTATACGCTTAAATCTAAATAGATTTAAGCGTATACACTATATATAAAACTTGAGCCACATTTTTGGGGGACAATTTTGCTCGTAAAAGCGAATTAAAAAGAAATCAAGAGACATAAATGAAGTCTCTCTCTCTCTATATAAACTGATCGAAAAAAGTTAAGGATATTGTGTATTCATTATGAAGGAATTTTTCTAGAAAAAAATGTGATATAGCTAATAATACCTATGTCATTTGCGTTTAAAAAAATGTTGTTTGTAAACATATAAAATTGTGCTGTGTGCTGCTAAGCGCAGTTTGCGATATTGTGATTATTCTGCTATTGACAAAATAAATAGACGTCATTTAACGGTAGAGGAAGCAAATCAAGCTACTGAGTTGATTCTTGGAGGTGCGCGACAGATCGATGTGGCTGATCGGTATAATGTCTCTCAAAGAGTAATTTATCGACTTAATAACCGATTTTATGAGACTGGATCTGTCATGGACAGGCATAGGGAGGGTATACCAAGATCGACAAATGCTAGGGAAGACTGAAGATTAGTGAGAGGAGCCAGGATGGATTCTGCAACAAACTACACGTTGCTCAGCCAGGGGTGCGTTCACAGTTATCAACCATAATTATTTGTCTTTTCCCGGTTAATTAACCGTGGATCGCACGGAAAATGTTACACGTTCACAATTATCAACTTGAAAGTGAGAGATGACCTAAGACCTAACCTTTACAAATGTCAAATGTCTAACCAAAATATCAAATGTTGTTGTTTACAAAAGAAATGAAATGGATCCGGTCGTAACGAATCATTTTTTATTTGAAAGTTATGATGAAAGTGAGGAGTCAGACAGTGATATAGAGACTGTTGCTGTCATGGTTGAGATAGTTGGGAGTACAGCTGATGCTGTAACCAGCAAGATTAAAAGAAAAATTCACAGAAGAAGCAGCATTGTGGAGGGAACAGAAAACTGCTCGGAGAAGGAGTTTCAAGAGGACTTTCGAATAACTCGGCAAGCATTTAATTGGCTTCTAGCTCAAATAGAAAATAAACTCGCAAACTTAGGTGTGGCACCTAGTACTATTTTGCCAAAAAAGCAACTATTGGCAACTATTTGGATCTTGGCTACACCAGATAGCTATAGGTAAGGCCTAGTTATAAATTAAAATTGATCTCACTTGCCATTCTGGTTTTCACTGTATGTATTTTTAGGTCTGTAGCTAAGAAATTTGGGATGTCAAGATCAACACTTCATAAATGTGTTAGTAGAGTTGTTGAACAAATAACCTCACTGACAACACAACTAATATGTTGGCCCTCTAGAGAAGAAAGGGAAGCAATTAATAGGCAAACCATACCTTTCGGTAACATACCAGGAGTTGTGGGTGCAATAGATAGCATTTTTGTACCTATAAAAGCTCCATCTGAAAATGCACAAGCATACAACAATAGAAAGTGTTTTCACTCGATCACTCTGCAAGCTATTTGCGATAGCAAAAGAAGGTTTCGGGATATTTTTACAGGCTATCCATGTTCTGTTGGTGATGCACGCATTTTTAGAAATTCTGATTTTTTTAAGGCTGCTGTTAACAACATGCATGATTTTTTCAGTGAAAATGAGGTTATTTTGGGTGATAAGGCTTACCCTCCACTAAGATGGTGTATTCCACCTTACATTGATAGAGGAAATTTACAGAGAAGAGAAAGAAACTTTAACACACAGCATGCCAAAACTCGCCAAATCATTGAAAGGGCATTTGCACTACTCTTCGATCGATTTAGACGACTTAAATATTTGGATATGAGTAGAGTGGATCTCATACCAGAGGTAATACTAGCATGTTGCGTGCTTCACAATGTTTGGCTTGTTTTCAGATGAGATGCTGCAAAATTATGAAGTTGATGGACAAGCATTTGTAATCGAGGATGATGAACATGACAATGTTGTTGAAGCAATGGATGATATAAGAAGAGATGGTCTACATCTTAGAGATGAAATTGCGGATTTATTAAATTGAATCATTTGCTTTGTTAGTGCTTTTGGAATATTTTTTTTTGTCATTTAAATAATATGGTAACCTACATATTAGCTTAATAAATAACTTTGATTATTTAGGGGTGTATTCATAGTCATTCCTTGGTTTCCTCCTTCCTTTATTATTTTAGATAATTTGTTAACCACTAAGGAACTACTTGCAATCATCAAAATTAATTACCACATCAATTTTTTATTTTATTCTAAAATACAGATGGTATACATATGTAAAAACCATTAGTGATTATTGATTAATCTTAATTTGCCAATTTTTAGTGTGAAAATATTACACCCTCCCTTCAACCCCTCTGAATTATGACCACACCCCCGAAATTTTTAAATAAGAAAGGGGTCGTGTGGCACCTTGTTTGAAAGGTCTTTGCAAGCCCTTTAAATCCATATTTTATTTTTTTTTAATTTGGATAATTAATAACAAAGTTGCAAGGGGAAGAAAAATAAATTTTTTTTTGAAATACAGTTTCCATGTCCCTATCCTAACTTTTCAGGTTCTATGCTGTGGCACGAAAAAATATCTGATTAGGGTGGTCAAAAATATACCACAGCAAAAAACCTGAAAAGTTAGGCTAAGGATATGGAAGCCGTATTTTTCGATTTTCAACAGTTTGTCTGTAACAGCCACCCACATTAAAAAAATTTTTCTTCCCCTTGTAACTTTGTAATTAACGATCCAAATTAAAAATAAGAAAATATGGATATAAAGGGCTTAAAAAGGCCTTTCAAACAAGGTGTCACACGACCCCCTTTCTTATTTTAAATGTTCGGGGGTGTAGTCATAATTCAGAGGGGTTGAAAGGAGGATATATTAATTTGACACTAAATATTGACAAATTAAGAATAAAATTCGACGTGTCTCAGCGTTTTTCATAATTCCGTAAAATTAGAGCAGATATAATTTTATTCCGTAAGTGGTTTCCACACAGCATAAAAACAAAACGCATTCTTTGAATTTAAACAAACATAAAAACTTAAAACTAAGAGAACTTTTGGATTGTTATTACTAACAAAAGTAAAAAAAGAAATAGCAATTGTTTATCAATAAAATTAAATAACAAAGAGTGAACTGAGGTCTATTTAATTGCAGCAACAATTTGTTTATCTCTTGCTATTTATTTTCTTTTTCTTTCATAAACTGAATATATTCCTTAAAGGCAGCTGTTGACTCTTCTTTCTGCCTGAGATTTTCTGCATGCCTTCTTTCACGTTCTACCTCTCGACGTCCTGTCTTAATTGAGTTAACACCTCAGTCATTTTTTGGACATGGTTACCAAGTTTTTTTCTTTTGGATTTGAAGATTCTGAAGCTTTTGGTATAGGATTTTCTGAAGGCAAAACCTCAACTTCTGTCTCCGTTTTAGCAGGGGTCACACGTTGGTTTGTATTGTCACTCAGTTTCCTTTTTTTCAAAGATGAGGCTGTTGATATTGGTTTAACATTTGGATCCTTTCCAAATAAGTCGTTAAATTGGTCAAAATATTCATATATATATATATATATTTATCGTCGCCACTAGCTTTATCAGACATATTTTCAATTTTTTTTATGAATCGGGCCTTAAGGAATTTAAATTTATTTTTAACTTGTTCAGTAGTAAATCCTGGTAATTTATCAGAAATCATTTTCCAAATTTTTTCATGCCTGATTGTTTGGCCTTTAAATAAAGAAGAATGTTCTTTATATGTATCAATCAGTCTTAAAATATTGTTGTTTGACCATGAAAACCTTGATCTATCGTCATCCTGCAAAAAAATATAATAAGGTCAGGTTAGTTATTCAGTTTTGTCATCAGATTCTATGAAAACTTTCAAATAACTGTATTTTAAAGCCTTGATAAATATTCCAAGCCTAAGACCCAGTTGCGTATATATGAATAGATAAAGTTTGTTAAATATACCTTTGTAGCTGACGCCTCAGGTACTTGATTGAGTATATCTTCTGATGGTACAGGTCGAACAGTTGATGTGGCCATATTAGGTACTTCATTGGATACAAATTGAACTGCAGGTATTTCAA